AAATAACGTATTTTTTTTAATTTAATTTATATTTATCTCAATAAATAACAAATATATTTCAAAAACAATTTCAAAATTATTTATATATATAAGTATTATTTTAAAAATATAATCATTTATCATCATAAAATATTAAAAACAAAAGTTTTTTACTTCATCAAAAATCATAAAAAAATCAATATAGCAAAAGCATGATTTATGAATCAATTTATTAATCGTAGAAATAATTATAACAATAAATGGTTAATAGTCTTTACTTAAAAATTTAATAAACAAGTAATTGTGCAGAGCAGAAAATGAAAAGAAATGCTATTAAAAAGGAAAATATCGTCATACATCAATGATATAACAGTTTTAACATATTCATTTATATTTTATACTTATATAAAATATTAGGTTAAAATTTGACGCCTAAATTTTTGGCCAAGAACAAAATGAGATAATTCTAAGGTTACTAAAATAATATAACCAAAAATAAATTGAATTTTTATTATATTTTGAATTAACTTATTCTCAATTTTTTAAAACATTCATATTTTATTCCCCTCCAAAAATACCCTTTTCCCACTTAATTTGGCACAAAACTTTTTGATAATATTCAGATTTTAGCTAAAACGACCGTTTATTATATTCAATTTATCATATGGAGAACGTTTATTTATTTTTATTTTTTCAAGATAGCGTGCTAGTTCGTGCTGCTTTTATCGTTGCGTGGCTAGACTGAAATATGAATTAAGTAACATAACAACGAATTATCATGCAGATTTATAGCAAATTTTACGAACCTTAATTTTCAAGATTTTCAATTATTCAAGGATTGCTTCATCGAAATCGCATTTACTCCTCATAATCATTTTAAAACTAATAACTATATACATGTATACTACTATCTTTTTTTTTCTACAAAAACCCTTAATTTCATCAGCAGATATAATCACCAAAAAATCAAAAATTTTTAACGATTCCCAAAATATAATATAGTTTCATCATTCCGAATATGCCATTACAATAACTAACAGAAATCTCAAAATGAGTCTATTTTTTTTTACATATAATTTCATTTTTTCCAACAAGTACTTGATATTTTCAGCTTTTATTTTTAAAATAAGAATTAAATTGGATATTAAACATTTTCCATACATAAAAAATATGGCTTTATTTTTCGAAATTCCATTTTAATATATTTTTATTTTATTTTTTATATATTGCCAATGTAAACGATTTTTTACTAAAAGAAATAAGTTCTTAATACATTATATATCAAAAAACCAAGTATATTAAGAAATGTTCATATTATATAACTTTCGATATTAATTAAATCATTGCAAAAGTGAATTAGAACCTTTTATTTTTAGAATTGATTTAGACTGATGCGTTTTTTTAAAAAAAAAACATAAAATATTTAATGCAATAAAAAAAAATAAGAGTTAAAAATATATATCGTTTAATATGGAATCAGTCTTTCACAAAATCCAAAACAAATAGTTTAATGTTAATTAAAATATATTTTAATTAATTTAATTCCTCGAATTTTAAGACAAATTTCTGAATAGTGAAAAAATGATAAGTAAAAAACAAAATTTCTGCCCTTTTTAAATTAAATAAAAAATATGCACATAAGTTAATTTGAAAAAAGGGCAGAAATTGAGAAATGGGCAGAAAAAGAACTCAAATTTGAAAATCAGCAGTACTTCAAAAAATCCTTATCTAAACTGTTTAAACCTTGTAAATTTATCTTAATATTTTTTTTTTCAATGAACATTATTTCTGTTAAATAAAGTGATTACTGAAATCAATTTTCTTGAATTTGATTGAGAAAAACTAAACCATGCTTTCTATTTTTGCAATAATTGTAAAGTTTGTTTTTGTAATCTTTGAATAAAAATATCATAAGATACATCTTGTTTGTAAATCTTTGAAAATATTTAAAATGTTCCTAAAATTGCCATCATTTCTTCATGTGCTTTAGAAAAATTAATTTAAATTAATGTAAATTTCTTTTTATACGTATAATTGGTTCGTATATAATAGATCTTATAGTGCTTGTTCTATATTAAATGTGGGACCACGGACAAATAAGTATTCAATCATTGCCACTTTTTTATCACTAATATTGTATAACTTTTTAAATATCAAACAAAAAGTTTTGTGCCAAATTAAGTGGGATAAGGGTAATCCATTAATATTTTGTAATTTTATTTTAAGCATAAATATATATTTGTTTTTAAAATATTAAAAAAATCTGAAATATGTTTTCAGTTCTCGCACCTCTAATTAAATCTTTTCTCAAATTTCATAACGTGCTTTCAATAGATCCATAGCACGATCAATCTAGCATAAATTGGCCATAGTTTGATCGTTTTTATACCAAAAAGAAAACCAAATATGATCAGAAATATTTTTATCAGAATTTTTTAATTTTCACTTTTTTCTAATATCTCCAAATAAAAAAGTAAAACTAATAATATTTAACAAAACATATAATTTATAATAATAATTTTTATATAATTTATTATTAAATATTTAATAAAATAATTATATTGTATGAAAAATAACAAATTAATTTTAGGGCTATTGATCTATCGAAATGGTATTGAAAAAATGAAAGCGCGTTATAATGATCAAAAAGTTTTATTAATTTTCATTCAAAAAAGAATAAACTTTTTAAATAATTATTTTATGATAAAATTATAAATTCTTCTTATTTTCATATTTAATTATTCTGAAGATTATATTTTAAAATAAATATCAATAACAATATTTATATATATTACTTTTTAAAATTATTTTATTATATCAAATAAAAATATATAGATATTAATATTTATATTAGTAAAATTTAGCACAAAATATAAAAGATGATTTTTTACTTTGTTGGATTAATATCATGTGCCAAATACGCAATTCTTTATGCAGGATCTAATACTTGGATTAATTATCGTCACCAAGCAGATATTTTCACAATTTACAATCAATTATTAGCACGTGGATTTTCAACATCAGAAATATGTCTTTTTGCCTATGATGATATAGCAAATGATTATCAAAACCCTTATAAAGGCCAAGTTTTTCATGCTACTGATCATAAAGTTAATGTTTATCCAGGATCATCAGCTATTACTGTTAGAGGTAAAAAAGTTACTGACGAAGCTTTTTACAATGCTATTTCAAAGCTTCCAACGACAAGTGATGACTATGTTTTTATTTATTATGATAACCACGGAGGCCCTGGAATCCTTGGTACACCGACTGATAAAGAAATTACTGCTGAAAAATTATCTGAATCACTTAACACAGCTGCAAGTTCAAATTTATATAAACAATGCCTTTTCATCATAGAAGCCTGCTATTCAGGTTCAATTGCAGAAGTTTTCACAGCTCCAAGACTTTTTACAATTACAGCTGCAAATAATAAAGAATCTTCATATGTAGCCGTTTATGACGAAGAATTAGGAACATACCTTTCTGATGAATTTACAAACTATTTTATTGCTCTGATTGATGAACAACCAGACATATTAGTTGGAGATCTCTATATGACTCTTAAGCAAAAAGCTGCTCTATCTCACGTTTGTTCCTATGGTGACGAATCAATGAAATCAGTTCCACTTTCGACTTTCATCGGAAAACCAAGCAAGATTATACATCATAATATTAATAGCGCTAATCTACAATTAGTAACACCACGTGAAGCTACTGAAAAAACGCTTACTTTCCTCTCTCAACATGAAAAAGCATTCATTCGATCACGTGCTCGTCTTCAATTACTCCAAAATAAAGCTCAGACTGAAAAACTCAATGCAGTTTTGGAAATGCTTGTCCAATATGTTGATCCAAAGAATTACGATACTATTATGAACGATACAGATTCAAAGATTACACCAACATATTTTCAAATTCTCAGAATATTCATTCAGAAATTTGGAAAAGTAAACCCAGACGATTATGGCCGTTTTAATGTTCTTAAAGCTCTTGCAGCTTCCCATACAAAAGCTGAAATTGTCCAAGGAATTTTTGCAGTTCTCATTTAAGTAAAAAACTTTTTTTTTTTTTTCCGTATCTAATATTTTTTTTTTTTTTTATCAAATTTTAGTTAACCAAGTTTTCACATATATTTTATCGTAAATGAATCGACTCAAGAATGTTTCAAAACAAACCAATAATCCTTTTTTAAACATGTACAAATTCGATGTTGAATATAGAAATGGAAATATTAACCCTTATTATGTTGCCTCCCGTTCACCAAATATTGAAAATCTTGAAGCTGTAACTCATAAGCATCATTCTGATGCTATTATCATTTTTGCAGTATATGGTGAAAAAAAAGATAAAGTCGTTTTAGTTAGACAGTTCCGTTATCCAGTTAATGGATATTGTTACGAATTACCTGCAGGATTGGTTGAAAAAGGGGAAGATATGTATGCTGCAGGAACACGAGAATTGTATGAAGAGACTGGCCTTAGTTTCACGCCAAAAAAAGTTGACAATGCATATACTAGACCTTTTTTTAGTACTCCTGGCTTATCTGATGAATCAGCTGGAGCTATTTATGGATATTGCTCAGGAACTCCTTCAAATTCCCATCAAGAAGAATCAGAAGATATTCAAATTATTCTTGCAGACAAAAATGAATGTAAACGAATTTTAAAAGAAGAAAATGTTCCAATAATGTGTGCATATCACCTTATGCATTTTATTCACAGCAAAGATGAAGATCCGCTATCATTTTTAGATGAAATCTGATATTATTTTTGGATTAGTCCTTAAAAAGCTTTACAAATTTATTTTTTTTACAGCAAAAAATAATTTATTAAAGTATACGGCATTATTTGTAAATATCCGAATAAATATGATTATTTGTGAACAATTTTTTTTAGATGAACTTATAATAAAACACAAAAGTTATAGGATAAAATACTAAAACTTTTAAGAAAGATTGATATCTTACATACCATCGAATAAAGATATTTAAAGCAAACAAACAAAAAAATGCAAAAAAACGACACGAACCAGATTCGAACTGATGCGGGTAAACCCATGGGGACTCAAATCCCACGCCATAAACCACTCGGCCATCGTGTCTTGCATTTTACTTTATAATAATGGAATAAAAATATATTTTTTTATTCTGAATGATTAATTTTTTTTTTTTTTTTTAAGCATGACTTGGTATAACAGTTGGTACTATAAGTCAGCTTTGCGTTTTTGTGATAGTCAATGTTTGCGTTTGCGATGATGACATTGTTGGAGTGTCAGCACTGATTGGACATCCTTCCACAAGGTTGAAAATACAAGATTCGCTTATGACTCATCAATTGTTAATTTAAAACGATCAATGATTTAATGCATTCAAATTGCCATTGATGCCATACCTGGTGTTATAGTCAATGCGATTCGAATAACCACATTCTGGCAGATATTCAGGTGCTGGTATTAGCGAAGGAGCAATAGTTGGACAGGATGCTTCTATCAGTCCAAGTGATGATTCATAAAAAGTGAAGTGAATGTCAAAATCTGGCGAAGTGACTTGTTGATCACAAGTTAAGTTGTATTCAACATCTATCGTTTTATAGGTTTTGTCACATTCTTCTGTAAATGGTTCACTGCTGGTATAGTAGTATATTAGACCTTCAGAAAAGTTGTTTAGATTCGGAAGTTTGTAATTAAATGAGTTGTACGTTGTTAAATAACGAAAATCTGATCCTGGAATTGGATATTGCAATAGAAACACATCAATAGCGTCTACATTCTGGACAAAATCGATTTTTTTTTTATTACAATGGTTTTGCCTAAAAAAACTAGTCTAGTTATATTTATATTAGTCTGAAATTTCTACACAATCACGTCTCCATATTTTGCATGATGACATGAATGAAAATATATTTTCATTCAAAGTTTGAAAGTTTCAAACAAAAAGTTGAATATAAAATGAAATTTCAATTACAATTGCATAAATAATTTGTTTTATTGAGTATATTAATATTCATTCCATTATAAAATGCAGATTTTGAATCTTTTATTTAAATAATTTTCAATCCCTTTGAAAATTGATACAATTGTATACCAGTTTTTTCTCAGAAAAAAAATTAAATGAGTTACATTAAAAATTGTGATTTTTAAAATATAATTATCTTTTTAAAATACTGTTATTAAAACTTAAAAATAGTTATTTATTTTAAATTTGTATTTATTTAATAATTTTATGGAAATAAAATTATAATACCTAATTATATTATAAGATAAACTAGTTTTGTATATTTCAAATATAATAATAATAATAATATTAGTTCATTAATAATATGAATAGTTCATATAATAATCAAACCAGTGATGAAGATTCAGGCTTTGAACGATATTGCGATGTTTCTGAGTATGATCTTTATTATCTAGACACTGTTGAATCAAGCCCACCGTCCATAAGCAGTCCAATTGAGCAAAGTCTACTACCCATGAGTAATCCAATTGAGCAAAGCCAATTGCTCATGTGCAATCCAAATGAGCAAAACCAACTGTCCATAAGCAATCCAGTTGAGCAAAGTCAACTACCCATGAGTAATCCAATTGAGCAAAGTCTACTACCCATGAGTAATCCAATTGAGCAAAGCCAACTGCTCATGTGCAATCCAAATGAGCAAAACCAACTGTCCATAAGCAATCCAGTTGAGCAAAGTCAACTACCCATGAGTAATCCAATTGAGCAAAGCCAATTGCTCATGTGCAATCCAAATGAGCAAAACCAACTGTCCATAAGCAATCCAGTTGAGCAAAGTCAACTACCCATGAGTAATCCAATTGAGCAAAGTCTACTACCCATGAGTAATCCAATTGAGCAAAGCCAATTGCTCATGTGCAATCCAAATGAGCAAAACCAACTGTCCATAAGCAATCCAGTTGAGCAAAGTCAACTACCCATGAGTAATCCAATTGAGCAAAGTCTACTACCCATGAGTAATCCAATTGAACATTACCAAACCAATACATTATTTCATAATCGAATTTATGAAGATAGTTCAACTCACTTTGCTAATGATGACAACTTACATTATTATAGAAATAAACTCAATCTTAATTTTCCTAGAAACCAGGATAAAGACTATCACAAAAATTCATGTTGCATAAATCAAAACTGCAACCAACATTGCAATCCTGATTCATTTGGTATATCAAATGTTTCGATTCATCCAAATGTCAACGCTTCTGCCATGTACTTCAGTAGGCACCGCGCCTTATTTGATGTACTTCCAAGGCAAAAGCGAAGACAAAATTTTGGGCCTGAATCCTTTCAAAATAAATATTATCAAATACTATCAGGACATAAGCTCAATAAAGAAAAAGTCCAACAAATTCACAATGAATTTTTGGTAAGAGATTTGCATTTCAACAAAATGAGAAGTTGCGAATTTCGTTCAATAAAAAAATATTTCAAAAAATATGAAGAAAAACAAGATGAGATCCTTAATTACTTACAAGAAAACAGGAAAAGGATAGTTGCCAGGTTTGGTATCATATAAATCATCTTTTTGATTTTTTTTTAACATAAGTAAAAGTTTTCGAAATTGACCTTAAAATTTTTATTTTATAACACATTGAAAAAGTTGCCTTATATAAAAATTTTTTTAATAATTGTTAACCATTCCAAAGTAAATTAAACGTTTAAATCAGAAATTCAATTTTTTTATCATGTTTATAAACCAAGGCTAAGAAATACAGAAAATAAATATTTTTTTGGATATTGGAATTAAAAGATGAATTTCAATTAATTTAGACAATTATACGGAACATTATACAAAATTTAAAAATAAAATTATATAACTTTTAAAAATTATGTAGATATATTTATATAGATAACTCTATTAATAGGAAAATGAACACAAACATCAATCTAAAAAACATGTTAACAGATATTTGAAGTTTCACAAAAAGTTCCAATCCCTTCGAAATGACAATTCTTAGCAATTTCATTATATGAAGCTGCCAAATCATCATCGAAAGCAATATTTTCAAGAACTGTGGTCAAAAATTTTAATGCTTGATCATCTTTATCACCATACCATGGCTTGATTTTAATCAAATTTTTAGGATTAATCAGGGCTGATCCAGGCATATCGTCAACGATGAGAACTTGATTGAGCGGACTTTTGACCATGCTCAAATTTTTTACAAAATAGCCATTCATGCACATGCACGAGTCTCTGTAAAAACGAGAAGTGCTCTTTACATTCGGCAGAATTTCATCAATGATCTTATCGGCATAAATTTGCTCTGATGCAGTGAAGACACAAATGTTAAATAATTTTGATGCTTTTTCTAAGAATGATTTTAAGTATGGCCTCGTTTGAACATAATATTTTCTTCTCTTGACTTTAATTGTAAAGAAGCTATTATGTAGATCAACTGGTGGAATTGATGTTGTATAAACAATCGTTTCATCAAGATCCAAAACAATTGTAGGCTTTCTATTTAAGCATATCATTCTAAAAATTTGAAATCAAAATAAGAAAAATTTGAAATTTGAATAATTAAAATTGTGTTTGATTAATTTAAATTTGAAATTTGAATCTGAAAATAATTTTTGAAATTGAATTTGAACTGTTGTTAATGGCAATAATAATGTTGCTTTTTAAGATATAACAATACTAATTATCAATTTTTATTGTTTTTATCGTTTTTGTTTGAATATATTCCCGCTAAAGCAAATTCTTATTATTACTACAGAATGAAATAAAAATGTAATGTGTTGTAAATTAAGAAATTTGAGAACAAACCACAAATTATTTAACAAAATGGTTAATAAAAGGTCAATTTTTTCAATTAAAATAAATTTTATTGTTTTAAAAACTTTGGTTTTATCTTTGTGAATAATGTTTTTTTTTTTTACAAATAGTAGTGTTAATTTATACCATACTCATTTTTCTTTTTTTTTGATAGGTGTGATGTGTAACTACATCCTTCTCAAATATTGAATTAAAAATTGAAAACCATCACAAAAATTTGAGAAAAATAATAATCGCAAAAACCCCCCATAATAAATCATTCAATTAAAAAAATCATAAAATATTTAATAAAAATTTATGAATGTATTTATTAGGTTAGGATATAGCTATAATAAATAGGAATTGGCGAATAAGAGAAATGATGTTCTGGAAATCTGCAAAAATTATCATTAAAATAAAAGTTTGTTGGGATTAAATTTCCGAATTCTTGCTCATAAATAGTTTTTTTGGTTTCTTTTGAAGTTTTTACCTCATATCTTTTCAAATCACCTGACTTCATCTTCCTCATTATTGATGAAAAATGATTTTTAATGTCAATGTTGGATCTATCATTGAAATATGAAGACATTTTCACCCAATTTGGACCAAATTTATCATATAAAAATAATATTAGATCATCTTCTTCTTTAGACCAATCGCCTTTCTTAGTCTTTTCGATGAGATAATTGTAATAACGTTCGCGACATTGTCTTGAATTTCTGTTCTCCAAGTTAGATGCAACCTCAGACCAATTTATGAGATCGTTTGTTTCATAATTTCTAACTAAATTGAGAAGACGTTCATCCTCATCTTTAGAGAATCGATGCCTGAATCTTTTAGGATATTCATATCTTAATTCAGTACCAAAGGAATCCGCTCTTTCCATATAATATAAATAAAAAAACTATTTTTTAAATCAACGAAATACTTTTTCAATGAAAATAAAATCGAATTGAATTGAACGATTCAATCGATTAAGCTAAACTTTGAGTAAATTCTGCTTGCTTTTTTAAATAATGCCTTGATCCTTATTTTGAAAATCATTTTTAATAATTCTAATGTTTGCCGAATAAAATTTCTGAAGTTTATTGAATTTTAAAAAAATCTAATGTTTATTGAATTTTCAATAAACCAGAAACTATGTCTTTTGCATTATTATTGAAAGATCTTTGAAACATTTCATACTTGATCTTTATATTGATTTGGCGACTCAAATAAAATATTTTGATTCAATTTTTTGAAAAAACATTAAAACAATTCAATTGCCCTATTGCCAAAATAAAATACCAATCGTCATATTCAATAGATTGGAGAATAACATTGATTGCT